GACTTCATAATGACATACACATTGCAGCTTAGTTTACAGCAGAAAGAATGTTAGATAGTTATCTTGTATACTGCAATTTCCCTGATTGAACAGATCCACACATGAGGCATTAATAAAGTAATTACCTCACTAAAATACCTTTCTTTTTAAAAAATTAGATGATACTTGACTGAAATTGTCAGAAATCCTATGGCAGTGAGGGAAGAAAAAGTAACTTAAGGACAAGAGAAATCTTCAGGCAACAAGGTACTAGCAGCCTCTTTTCTTTTTCACCCAATGGATGAACAATGGATCCGCAAGTTAAGAACATGACCTTTACCATGTTTATGATCAAGTTTGTAGAGGTGGTAAAGAAATGGCCCAGAGAATTTATGACAATCTAGCAAAAAACCTTTTACAGAGATGAACTAAGAGCAAGAATAAAAATAGCAATTGTTTTCTTTGGGGTCATAGGCAGAGAGGCTGAGAAGGATGATTTCAGTTTGGTTTGTGGGGAATCTCTTTTGTTTGGATAAATTTTTAGAAGCAGCCAAATAGCACTGTGGCTTGAAGAGATCCTCATGTAGCAGCTGTCACAAGGAATAGGGGCATGAAAATGAAAAGAGGAGGAAAGAATAAACATGTATCTCTTCAAAGTGAATGGGCAACTATTTTCAGTCCCAAAGACGTGTCACAGGGGGAATGGCATTGCAAATGGTTGACATAAAAACCATATTTGGTTGCCAGATACAGCATTACTTTTTATTAAGGGAGAAAGGAGGCATAGTCAGTTCTACTTGCAACAATTTGGTGATTTTAGAGTAGGTTGCCTTTGTGCTTCTCCAAGATTTTGGCATTTATAGAACATATTGCCCCACATATGAAGTGAGGACCACTTCCTTTTGTGTGCACTTGTAACTTGGGATTATGTTCTGTGAAAATAACTGCTTAAGAATAAAGTTACCTCCACCACGAGGTAGGAGTATGTTCTCCTATCAGAAATGTCCTGGAAAATGAATTTTGTCCCTATGGGGCTCTATTTTAATTTGGCGTGGGGAAATTAAGCTTGTGCTTTGTACTACTGTTTAAAATACACACACACACACACACACACACACACAATGCTGTTACTGTCATCCATGGAAAAGACCATTAAAGCTTCAACTATTTTGATTCTGGAATGAAGAAACATCTTTGAATTCCAGTCATATAACTGAGGCTGGGGCTTTGGTACTTCCTATTTGACTGGAAAATATGTAGGAAAAAATCAGGAATCACAGGTCTGCAATTGTAAAGACTTAAAAAGCTTTTGGGGCTACAGGGTGAGAAGGATATCAATTATTGCCAAGGACAACACCTTCAAATAGCCACCCACTAGACTCTACCTCTTAAAGGACCTCTTAACATGACCACAATGGTCATGTTAAGCTTCCAACACATAAAGTGTTGAGGGATAAACTCAGACCAAATCCAGACTATAGCAGAAGCATGTTGGCTGTGGGTTCAGCAGCAGTAGATTATGCTTGAACCCCTCCTTACCCTACCTGTAAGTCAAGTGTACTGTCCGGTTGGTGGAGTAAACAGAAGCATGTGGTAGTCATTTTCTGAGAGGGATGGGGAGGAAAGATGTGAGGGGAAGAGGGCAGAAGAAAATGTTAGATCAGTTTTTACCCTGCTGATTACCCCCACCACACCACTGAGGTATTGAAGTTTGAACCTAGAGGTGCTCTATCACTGAGCTACATCCCCAGCTATTATTTTGAGAGTCTCCCTAAGTTGTCCAGACTGGTTTCAAACTTGTGATCCTCCTGTCTCAGCCTTCCAAGCTGCTGGGATTAAGGTGTGTGCCACTGTGCCTGACTTGCCATGCTGATTTTGAAGCTGTATCCTGGTGAAAAATCTTTGGAGTTGCACATTAACCTCTTTTTAAAAGTTTTCCCAATGATAAGCATACATTGCAGATTTTTATAACTCTCAAACCTTGCTCTCAGTCATCCACTGCCCTACTCCCCAGGTGCCTCTGTGACCTTGTTTGATTTCTTTACAACTACACGATTCCTTCACTAAGGGTCCTTTTCCCAGGCTGTTCCCAAGATCAACTGATGTCTAACCTTGGCTATCGTCCCCTTCCCTGATCTTGGAATCTGCAATGAATTCCCAAGATGCTCTCTCTGTGCTATGATTGTTTTCTTCACTTTTGTCATTATTTTTGGCGTTTTGGTTACTTGAACATATGATCTTTTTTTCTGTCAGTGCAAGTTCAGTGCGTGCCAGGTGCCTGACTTCAGCCAACTTCTAATGAAGTGGGAGGCAGAAGCTTGGCTTGATGCAGTTCTATTTAATGAACACTAGAGAGAAGCATTGCCCTGCTCCTTTCCTGGGAGACAGTAGGAGGCCCTCAGATTTTCCCCAGGATCTTCAGTGGTTGGGATCCCTCCCTCTTGCTCCAGGAACAGAAAAGAGAACTCAGCGTCTGTAATAAGCACCGTGGCTCAGGAGGACAGGAAATCGGGCCCCTCCCTCATTCAGATACTTCTAGGTCAGTCTCAGTCTGACAGGGGGCACTTGGTCTCCACATTCTTCTCTTCATAGTGAGCCCTCTAATTGCTCCTTAAGCCACAGGACTTCTGTCTCAGGTGAGGAGAGAGACACTTTTACAGAACATCTCTAATCTTCACAGTACTTTTTAAGAATTGATGTCATATTCTTCCGAGCTTATTAGTGAAGAAAATGGAGGATTAGTGAAGTGAGGTCTTTTACTTAAGCTCAGTTGAGAGCCCAAACTGGTGAGCCTGCCCTGTCCATCGCAACAACCTCCCTACCCCCACTTCAGGGTGTGCCCATATGCCTAGGTGTGTCAGGGGAACACAAGGTGGAAGATGTCCCACAGAGCTGGGTTTAGGGCTACCTTCTTCAGTCCCAGATTTCTCCCACAAGGGGGCAGCACTGATAACCAGCCCCCTTACAGCTGGCATCTGAGGGTCCCTCCTCACGATGGCCTGGCCTGAGGGGCCTCACATCATCCATGACTTAAACCTCCTCTATGAGAGGAGGCGGTATGTAGCTTTACCTGTTAAGGAAAATTCTGACACCTCAGAAGCCCTGCTAATAGTGCCACAGCCCCACGGTTGTTTTTCTGTTCCATTAGGCTAAAAAAAGATTCTAAAGAGAAATTCAATGCACTTCTAAATAATCCCTAGATTAAAGAAGAAGTCTAGAAGTGTATAAATGCATAGAACTGAATAAAAATAAAAATTTAACAAAGTCAATATGAGGGGTGTAAATAAACCAGCGTGAGAGAAATGGACAACCTGAAATTAAAAGAGAGCTATGGCAAATTAGTTCTCTAAGTTCTATCTAGAAAATTAGTGAAACAAGAACAAAATAAAGCCCAAAACAAGAAAAAGGAAAGAAATAATGAAGAGCAAAAATCAATGAAGTAAAAAAAAATAGAAAATTAGAGAAAACCAACAAAACAAAAAACTGGTTCTTTCCAAAATTAAAAAAATTGATACATTTCTAGAATGGCCAAAACAAAGAGAGAAGATGGAAGTCACTGACATCAGAAAAGAAATAGGAGATATCAATACTGACCCTTTAGCAATTTAGAAAAATAACAAGGAAGTATGTACCACAACCAGCTTCATACTCATAGATCAGCAGCTTAGAGGAAATGAATGATTTCCTTAAAACCCACACACTCCCAAGACTTAATCAGGATTAAATAGGTAATATGAATAGTCTATAAAAAGGTAATAAATTGAATTCATAATTGAAAAAAGCTTCTGAAAAGGAAATCCTGAGGCCAGATAGTTTTACTGCAGAGTTATAACAAGTGATTAAAGATCTAACACCAAAGTTACAAAATCTATTTCAGAAAAATAAGAGGTAGGAACACTACTAGTGAGCTCTTTATAATTTTATGTTGCTTTGGCATCTGTTTGAATATGAATTGGACTTTATCATTTCAGAAGCAGCACTTAGTCACCATTGATGTAGGTTCTAGTTCTCTACCTCCTCCTGGTTTTTCAACATGATCAATATGCATATCCCCCTTATACAACCACCCTCACCCCTGGTGACCACCTCCCCATGTAACTAACAATTAGAAACAACCCACTTGACTCTCTCCTCTAACTCCCACATTCCTAGTGACCACCTGGAATCACAGTGTGACTTGTGCCTGCTTGTTGCAGATCCACCAATTAGAATTTCCAGATGGAAACCTGCTTGGGTAATTCCCTGGACTCCAATAAAGCCTTTAATCCACAAGTCCTTTTCTCTATCTTGTTCCCAATCTATTGTACAGTATGTGTGTCCCAGAGGGCTCCTCACTTCCTATTGGGCCTTTAAGTTGTGATCCTATTTTTAGGATCTGTAAATAACATGTTGCTTCTGTTATTTCAAATGTCAGGCTGTCTGTTGTATTTATGTCTCACCCATTAATACATCCAAACCTAAGTTCCCTCCTGGTGAGGGCTCTCCTAGACAGCGGCTGTCTTGATAGGAATAAACTGGACACAGGTCTGACAAGAGCCAAAGGGCATCTGCCAGTATAAAACCAGTTTCCTGTGAGAGGAATACCTGGTCAGGGATTGGACACTTAGGCATAATGCTGTCCAATAGGAAAAAGATGCATCCCATGAAAGGTTTTCTGTAAACAACCCTGGAGTCCCATCAGGGCAAGATTAAAGTTTATAGCCACTCTCCTAAGAGATCTCAAGACCAAATGAAGGGAAAATAATGATACTTACCAAAAGATTTTACAAGGCTATTATTGTCCTGATACCAAAACCCAAGAACAACAACAACAACACAAACCCCAACAAAAGAAAACCTATATAGACTAATATATAGACTAATATATTTATATTAGACTAATATATTTCCTGAACTTAGAAACAAACATCTTCACAACAGCAATGCATAAAAAGAATTATATATCATGCCCAAGTTGGATTTATTGCAGGTGTGTAATCTTGGTTCAACATTTGAAAATCAGTCCATGTAACTCATAATAATAACAATTTTGGGGAAAATTTAATCTATCATATTAATTGACACAGAAAAAGCATTTGACAGAATCTGACATCCATTTAGGACCAAACTTTCAACAAGTTAAGAAGGACAGCTGCCTCAAATTGACAAAGGACACCTACAAAAATCCTAGGCTAACATTAATACTGAAGGACTGTGTGTTGTTCTTCCAAGGACAAGGCAAACATATGAAGAAACAAGGGGAAAGAAGATCTAGTTAGCAGGTTTGTTATGTAAACTCCTATGGCTCTGTGTCTGGGTTCATAAGGACCTAGAATTTTCTACAGTGATTGATTTCTGTCCTTTCTGGTACAGAGGGGAGGGAGGACAGCCTTAGTAATGCATGTCCCCCTTTTTGGAAAGTTTGGGGAGGGCAGAGAGCTTGTTCTGTGTCTACTTCATCTCAGTTGCCTTCAGCTCAAAATAATCCTTATACAGAAGTGGCATATTTGGGGGCAGCATATTCTACTATCCTTCAACAATCAGTGGAATGATAGAATCCATTCATTAAGTGGCAGAAATGAATATAGAGAGGTGTTTTCACACTGTCAGTCACTGTGAAAAACAAAACACCAGGATCAAAGAAGAGAGGATCCTAAAACCTTTAGCAGGTGAAAATCACATCACATATTAAAGGGACAAAGATTTTACACTCCACCAAATTCAACTCAGGTTCCCCTGAACTCTTCTTTTTTAACTAGGTCTTGAATTTTGTATTTCCACCTTCATCTCTGTGTTGTCTAATTTTAGCAAGAATCCTTCTAAAAAATCCTTGGTTTATCCAGAATCCCAATCCTTCATATCTGACCGATCTCAATATCCAATATGGTTTTTCATACTGTACCATACCCTAGGTGACATCTGAGCAATCTGGTAAGAATCCCGGTAGGTCACTTTAGCCAGAATCTCCCAACATTTTTTTATTTCTTCCTATGTTTGTTCTGTCTTATGACCCATAGAACACAGAAATGAACTGAAAGACTAAATTCTATGAAATTGGTATCATTCTATATATTTAAGGCAGAAGTTAATGCATTAATACAGTGTCTAAGGAATTGGGGTTCAGTTCTCTCAAGGAAACTCTTTTTGAGAAAGGCTAAAAACAAATGACAATTCATGAAAGGTAGTTGTAACACCCACAAACATATGTTCATACCCCTAATACACAATATCTCAAGCATGACTAAAAGGTGATTACATTAATATACAGAGCCACAGATAATTCAGAGGTAATGCAGAAAAGAAAACTTATACATTTCTAATAAACACAAAACTATTTTAACTCCCACTAGCAAGTAATGAAAATTTAAAAAATAAGCAACAAGGAGCCATCACTCTCAGTTAACAAATTGTCAGAAGTCATAAAAGTCAACAAGGATGCACCCAAACTAACCATCCAGGTTCTTTTGGTGGAATGAAAACTAGTAGAGCTATCCCTCAGGATGGGGGGGACTCGTTCAACAATCTTCTGCAGATACTGAAACCCAAGGATGCTCAAGTCCCTGATACAAAATGTTATATGTCTGTGCACACATCCCAGTATACATAAAATCATCTCTATATTCTTTTAAATAACTAATGCAATGCTATGTAAATACTTGTTATACTGTATTGTTTAGGAAATAATGCCAATAAAAAGTTGGTACACGCTCAGTACAGATGCAATTTTGGGGGGAATATTTTTGATTTGCAGTTGGTTAACTCTGGGATGCAGAACCTACAAATATAAAGACCTGACTGTACTATCTTTCTGGAAGGCCGTCTGGCACAAAGAGATAATTAGAAAAGAATGCAAATGTTTAGTATAGGAATTTTGATTTCAGACTTCTCATATATAAAAAAAACTACAAACTACATGAGTTTCCATCACTAGAAGCCTGACTACTAAATATCCTTCTGTGGACCTGCCAATAAGGGAGGTAAGCCAACACATAAATAAGTGAATTACAAGTAAAAACAAGTATATTTTAGGCAATATGGTATAGAAACTGTAGGACCAACCAGGCTACATCATGATTCTTTTGGGAGGAGCTCAGATCAAGGCACTTTTTGGCAGGTCCTTTCCTAGGAATGATATGGTATGAGCCTCAGATGGTTTGTTCTTGGACAAATTTGCCTTCAATCAGAGTACTTCTTCTCTATCCAAACCACATATGTGAAAACATGCAACTGATTTAAAAATTAGGTTGAAGGCTCCTGTAGGCTAAGCTAGTCAGATCTTATTAATGAATTTCTTATTAGATATTGGAGAGCCATTCCTTGACGTTCATATTTGCAAAGGTCTCTTGGAGATGGGAAAGACTGGAGCTGAAGGAAGCAATGAAGATGGGAAGTCACAAAATACAGTGCCAGGAAAAGCAGAGGGTCTGTTGGCATGGGAAGAAGAGGGACCAACTCAGGAGATAGTTCTAGAACAGAATCTACCAAAGTGAATGGGGTCGTGAGTGATGGTGATGGGGAAGGGGGGGTCTAGGTAGAATTTAAATCAAAAGGCTTATTAAAATCAGCTAGAGCCAGGTGCAGTGGCTCTTTTGCCTGTAATCCCAGCAGCTTGGGAGGCTGAGGCAGGAGGATTGTGAGTTCAAAACCAGCCTCAGCAATGGCGAGGTGCTAAGCAACTCAGTGAGACTCTGCTTCTCAATAAAAATGCAAAATTGGGCTGGGGATGTGGCTCAGTGGTTGAGTGCCCCTTAGTTCAATCCCCAGTACTGCCTCCTGCTCCAAAAAATCGGCTAGAGACAGCTGGATGAAGTTCTTCAATCAGGACCTCAATGAATGAAGCCCCTCAAGTTCTGCCTCGTTCAACCATCCCCATTCAACAGCAGCAACCATTTTCTCCATCAATATCACCCTTCCACTAGTCACCTCTACTGAAGCTTTTTAACCTATATCTCTTGGAAGTTCACCTCCCCAAATTTTCTCATTTCATCACCTGAGTGAGAATTCATCAAAAACAATTGTTTTGGTTCTGGAGATTAAACCAGGGCATTTAATCACTGAGCCACATCCACAGGCCTTTTTATCTTTTATTTTGAGACAGGGTTTCACCAAGTTGCTTAGGGCCTTGGTAAGTTGCTGAGGCTGGCTTTGAACTTGCAATTCTCTTGCCTCAGCCTCCTATCACTGAGATTACAGGTGTGCTCCACCATGCCCAGAAATATTTCCCATTTTAAAATATTTCCAAACTCTGAGCTGCCCCTTATCATATACATATACAAATACAGAGATTTGTATCACCCTTAGAAGGGAAGGAAGCCACCCAATTTTCTGTTTTATGAGGGCCATAGGCTAGAGATGACCTTATTTACTAGTTTGACTCTAGTTCCAGGACTTTGGTGGCTCAAGGCTGAGAGGGAGCACAGATGGAGGTGGGGGACAGGGCAGATGACCAGTGGCTGTTGGGTGCAAAGTGGCATACCAGTCCTCAGTCTGGTGGGGTAGAGAAAATGAACCACCTGTGGAGGGCTGTGAGGGAAGGGCATGGTTATAGGGGTGAGGGAAGCAGGTTACTGTTGGAGGTGGTGTTGTGTAGGAATAGGGACAAGCAGGGGACTCTGGCAAGAATCCAGAGAAGGTGGCAGGCGAGAGATGGGCCAGTGGCTGGAGCAATGATCTTTCTTGCTTCCGTTGCTTAGCTCTGCGGTTCTGGAACCAGACCTGAGAAAGAATAGCCAAATCAGAGCTTCTATTTCAAATAGATGGCACTGTCACATATGATCCCCTTCTTCCAAGGACAGGAGGTTCAGGTACAGGGAGTAAGCATCTCCCACATCACCAGAGGAAGAAAAGTTCTACTAGAGGCATGGCTGACCTAGGTCTGCTGACAAACTGTACTTTTAACTCTAACCTGTCTCTAAATTTGCTCAATTTGTACAACTTTGGATGAGTAAGAACAGTCACCTTCCAACAAGAAAGGGATAAATATTACATAGTGACATTTTCTCTCTCCAGATATTGGGGAAATCTTCCATAGGGTTCAGTTTAGAGATGAAGACTATTGATAAATATAATTGTTATAGACAAGATTGGGTTTAGGGGAGGATTTAGACTTAAGGTTAATTAACTCTGTGACTAGTATTCATCCTCAGGCTGGATGAATCGCAAGGTTGTGGTTAGGGATAAGGGACAAGGTTGTGCATGTCTGTGAACAGTTAGAATTGCATTTCTTTTGGGGTTCACATCATTATTAAATGTTGGGAGTAGTAACTCAAGTCAGATTATCTTAGAGTTAGGGTTAAACTTGAGTGACATTCACAGTGTAGAGGAGGCAGTGTTAAGTGATGGGTGAAGTTTAGTTCCAGTGATTGTCTATACTCAGGTAGCTCCCACTGCACTAAAGAGAATCTGCATTTTTTCCTCAAGGTAGGAGGGACCCTGAAGTATCACCTGTATTCTGGCCTCACTGAGGCCCGTGTCCCGTGCGAGACCCTCTCGGGCCCAGATGTCTGGGTACTGATTCCTCCCAAAGGCTGATTCCAGCTGCTCCAACTGTGCTGGGCTGAAGGTGGTACGGTGGCGGCGCCGGGAGTGCAAGTGACCCCTCTGTCCTTCTTGTGGAGAATGTCTCGGTCTCCCCACTCCTACAGCAGAGAGCCTTCTGTAGGGCTGAGTGCTCATGTCTGAGGAGGGAGAAGAAAGGAGGGAGACGTTGCTTATGAGTGGGATCACCCATCCATCACTGGACCACTTATTTTCTGCTCAAAGCCCCCTATGCTGATTCCCCTTGGGAAACCCAGCTCACACCAGAAATCCTTCTTCTTTAATAACCACTATTCCTAGACCAGCTTAGCCTCAGTTGCTGCTATATTTCTGGGACTGGGTTGTCTGCATAGGGTTACTTCTCAGACCCACTTTCCATCCTGAGTATTCATACTTTGTCTACCTGACAACTCCATTGTATGCCCAATCTGAGCCCCCCTGTTACTACCCCTCCCTGTGCCTTTCCCCTCCAAGTACACTCCACACCCACCTGGGGCACACCTTGTGGGCCTTCTATTTGCTTTCATGCCCTAACAACTTTCTAGGTCTCTATCGAAGGTCCCCTTTGCTTGTTTCCTGCTCTCATGAGTTGCATTCAACTTAAAACTTCTTTATACAGCTCTTATCCTCCTGTACCCCAGCCTGGGAAGATGAAGCATTCTCCACTGTGTCACTCAGGCATACCCTCCCCTTACTTATGTACTCTCTGTCATTTCTCCTTCCCCTGCCCTGGCCCAGCCACCAGGCTGCAGGAACCTGAGCTCGTGGGAAAGGCTCGCTTCTCCTCCCTGCAGTCTCACTAAGCCCCCACATTAATTAGTCTGAGAACTGCCGGGGAAAGAGAGAACAGAGAGGGAAGAGGAGACACCTGGGAAGGTACAGGCTGAGAAAAGGAGATGTCTGGAGCAGACACCTATTCCCATGGGGACCTAAGTGTGGCTCCCACCCAGTGTTCACTGTCTCCTTTGGGGACTTACATGTATTGTACTGCTCTCTCATGATCAAAGCCTCGGCCCCTCCAGCTCCCTCCCTTACAGAAGGCAGTGTTCTGGGGCAAACTCTGAGATTAGGAGTGAAGGCATAGGCTCCAGCTATGCCTCTGCATCACCAGAATCCAGGGCCTCATTTCTGCCTGTGAAGCAAAGGAGTTCTATTTAAGGACCCCATGGTTTTAATATGCTAGGATTCTGGTTTTCATTTCTTCTCCCAGCCTTCCTCCATAGTGAACCACTGCCTCAGAGGAGACTAGACATGAGTCTCATACCTGTTGCCCACCTCAGGGCCCCAAGCCCAGCCTGGGAAGTCACTCACCCACTGTGGAGGTCAGAGTCCCTGCAGCTGGGTATCTCTCAGGTAAGAGGGTGCTGCAAATTCGCCCCTTCCTTTGCTTCCCCTGCTGGCTCCTCCCTTCAGCTTCCATGATTAGCCACCAACACCAAAGACAGTCCAGTCTCCTGTGTCCCTGAATCTTTGATTCTAGCTCAGTCTTTCCGTTTCTGTTGATCCCTTCTATGTCCGTGATCTCTCTCCTCCTTTTGTTGTATAATCTCTGATCTGTGTGTGTGTGTGTGTGTGTGTGCGTGCGCGTGTGTGTAAAGATATAGGTATATAGAGAGATGTCTCTTCACTGTCTTTTATTTTTTTTCTAATTCCTCATTCTCATTCCCCACATCTCTCTCTCCTTTTCTGTCTCTCTCTCTCTCTCTCTCTCCTTCATCTGATTCTCTATTTTTCTCTCTTTCGATCTTCTTTCCACCAGGATGCTGCTCTCTCTTCTTTCAGCTGCCTATTTTCCCACACCACCTCTCTCTCCTTGAGTCTTGGAGGAGTGACCTCCTCCTGGCCCCTGTGGGCCCATCCAATCATTACCTGGTCACCAGAGCCCCCTTGCTCTGGGGAGGATCACAAGCCGGATGAGGGAAGGTGTTCTGTTGGAGGGTCCAGGGACTGGGGCCAAGAGCTCATATTCCCAGGGGACCAGAATCTTTTGTCCAGTTAAATCCCCTCCTGGGAGCAGGCAGAGAAAGAAGGGTAAAATACATTCCTACTAAGTCCCCCTTCTCAGAACCCCACTGTGGGGAGGGAGGAGGAAGGCGGGGACAACCAGGGGGTAAGAGGCAGGGCCTCTCTGGCATCTCAGTGTGCAGGTGATACCCAAGGACCTGTTTCTAGGAAACTAAAAAATGAAGAGTCAAGTGCACACTTGGTACCCTAATATCCCAGAATATACCGGCCACCCTCTCAGAACAATCTGAACTCAATCCATAGGATAAATCTCCAGGGCACCAATGTTCTTATGTACTTTCTGTTTTCTTCCTTTGAAAGTCACCTGCATATTCATCTAGAAATCTGAGGACATCAAGACCTTTCAAGGCCACTGAGATTTTCAAAAAAACCCTGATCCTTGAGCGCATGTGAATTCCAGAAGCATTCTGTCCTACCCAAACCTCAGGATACTCTGCAATAAACAGATTCCCATGAATTTTGGCATTCTGAGTCTTTAAGGAAACCCTGATATAGCTGAAATGTCTGAGCAGTCAGGACCACCTGAACCCTATAGTACTCTGACTCTTGAGGTTGCTTAGACCCTGGAAGTACATTCTGTCATCCCCAGTATACCCTGATACTTTAAGGACAATCTGATATTCTAGGACTTTAGGATCCTCCATGACACTCTGAAACCGAAGGGCACTCTTGTACCCAGGACATTACACCTTTACTAGGTGATTCCCATCCTTTTACATGAAGTTCCGATCTCTTAGGACACATTGACCTGATGACACACTAACTTTCTTGGAACTTGTGTACCTATGGTTTGATCCCTAAGGTCACTCTAACTCCTTAATCACATCCTTTAAAAACTTCTTGACAATTCAAGAATGGAAACATCATAAACCTCTAAGAGCCTGATGTTTATAATATGGTCCAAAGATCATCATCAGCAGCAAATGGGAGCCTGTTAGAAATGCAGAATCTCATGTCCCACCTACCGAATCAGAATGTGTGTTGTAACAAGATCCCCAGGAGAACTGAATGTATATTTGTCTTAGGCAGGTTGGGATGCCGTAACAAAATACCACAGACTGGGTAGCTTCAATAATAGACATTTATTTCTCATAGTTCTGGGGACTGAAGAAGTACAAGATCAAGGGGATGGCCGGTTTAGTTCCCCAGTTGAGGTCTCTCTTCCTGGCTTGCAGATAGCTAATTTCTCACTGTGTTTTTACTTGGGGGAGAGAGAACCAGCTATAGTCTTTCTTCTTCTCAGAAGGAAACTAATGCCATCATGGGGCCTCCTCCTTATTACCCCATCTAAATCTAATTAACTCTAAAGAATTCCACCTCCAAGTACCATTATACTACCAAATTAAGGTGCACCCTTATTTTTTTTTTTGGGGGGGGGGAGGGACACAAACATTCAGTACATAACAAAATAAAATCGAGAAGCCCTTCTCCAAGACACCAACCCATCTTTCCATATCCTAGCATATTAGTCAGTTCCACAACATTGTGAACAAAATACTGTAAAAAATAAAGGAGGACAAGAATTTTTTTGGACTAGGAATATTTTGGATCATGGCTTCATAGACTTAGTCTGTAGTTATCTGGCTGCATTGCTTTGGGCATGAATTGAGGCAGAACATCATGGTGGAATGGCATGGTGGAGGAAAGCTGCTCAACCCATGACAGTTGGGAAATGCAGAGGGAGAAGAAGGGACTGGGGACAAGATATAGTCCCCAAGGTCATGCTCCCAAGGACCTACTCCTGCCAAATAAGTTCTACCATCTACAGTTTCTACTACTTCCCAATAATCCATTTAGCTGTAAATCTCTTGATGGATTAATCCATTGATGAGGTCAGAACCCTTATGATCCAAGTACTTCCACATATCTTCACCTGTGAATATTTCTGTTGGGGAACAAGCCTTCAACATATGAGCCTTTGGGGGGAATATTTCATATTCAAATCATAACATCCAGTATATCCTGGGATATACTGTGTTCTAGATAAAGTATATTAGATCTCCTACCCTGAACCCCATGGAAGCCCTTGCAAAACCCCAGTAGCATGCAATCAACTTGGACCCACAACAAAACACCAAATTACAATGAACTCTAGTGCCTCAAGATACCCTAACCCTACACAAGCACTCTGACTACCATCCAGGACAACCAGTTGCTCCAGAACACTCTGGTATTACAAAGAAATTCTGACTACTACCTTTGATCCCTAAGGACACCCAGATGCTATGTTTGACTTGACATCACAGGATACCATAATTCCTCAAGAGACTGGAACTTTTAGAAGCATATGTTATACCAGGGCACCATATTCCTATCCACAACCCTGACTTGCAAGGAAACCTGTAACCCAGCATATTTTTATTTGACATAAGGTAGAATGGTGGATTTGAGTCATGAGCTCAAATCCCAGCTATACAGCCTAGGATTTATGTGATTGTGGACTCATTGCCTAATACTTCTAAGTCTTAGTTTCATCATCTGTGGTTAACAATCTAGTAAATTCTCTTTGTCTGAAGTAGTTATGCTCCACAAAGCCACCATGTGAATTATTGAATACCCCCTTTAGTGAGGGTCAGGCTATAATCTGTGTTATGTTTGAAATATAACCTTGTATTATATATGTTTCTGTATTATGTTTAATTCTATTTGAATTAACAATATTTGAAAGATAGTATCAAACTCATGGTCAATAGCACTGTAAATCATGCCTGAACAAAGCTTATCTAATGCTTGTATTTTCTCTGTAAGGCACATCATAGCCTTCGTACTCTTCAAAACAGTAGACTGCATTTCAGAACACATTTGAGCCCATTTTAAACTGCAAAACCACCAACAGAGAGCACAAAAATATAAAAACGACACTAAATATGTCATGGAAAGAACCTGTGAGAACTGAAACAAGAATGTGGCCATTCAGTTTTCAGTGTTCTGGGCATGCATGTGGCTGCAAATGTCCACCAACATGCCAAAGAGTAATGCAAAAAATAATGGATTTAGGGGTCACAAATAGATGTTAGTAAGTAGGTGAATTCACAAATGTGGAATCCATGAATAATGAAGGTAGAGTGTACTTACCTCATGAAATTGTGATGACTGAGTTAATAAAAAGGAAGCATGTAGAATTATAACTTGAAAATTATCATCATCATCATCATCACCATCATCACCGTCATCACCACAATTCCTAAGGATTCTAACTCTAAGAATAATTCTGTTCATGTCAAATCCTTGAATTTTGAGGGCAAAAAAAGATGCTTTCATTTTAGGAGAACATGTGCTTACAAGGAACTTTGACCTCATTTGCTTATGGTCACATAAGTTTGAGCTCAGAATGACTCCATGACCCTCTAAGATACACAGACCACAAAGACATGGTGAGATGTTGGAATCTTTGACCCCATAAGAAATTCCTTGACATGATAGAAGGCAGACAATCAAAGCAAAATTCCTCTTGCCCATTTAGAACTCCCAGCTACTCTATTCTTGTACAAGATATACCACCACTGAAAAACCACTCAATACCCAACCCCAGTCTAGGAGATACCCTGATTATAAGGCCTGCCCATGGGTCTGTGTGCGTGTGTGTGTGTGTGGTGCTAGGGACTGAACCCAGAGCCTCATACATGTAAGCAAATTCTCTACCCCTGAGTTACATCTCCAGTCCTTTCAATTTTCAGACAGGTTCTCACTAAGTCTCCTAAGCTGGCCTTGAACTTAAGATCCTCTTGCCTCGATCTCTTTAGTAGCTGGGATTACAGGTATGCCCCACCTTGTCCAGCTCCATAAGGTATTTTGATCATATAAAGACATAATCTTATTTTCTAAGACACCTGATCATTCAGTGTACCTTAGTACACAGAATGTCTTGATGACAGCACATTTGTGTCCAGTGTACTCTCTCACAGTCCCAGACTTCTCAACAGGTGCTACAATCATTGCCACACTCTCCCTATTCCTGACACACAGACAGCCCAGAACAGCTTTTGACACATGGAACCCCATGAGTCCACACAATAATTATCTTAAATCATCAAGAAATCTTGGCCTCTCAAGGAAACCATTCTTATATAACATACAACATTATATGTATCACACAGATATATAATGTCCTCAAATATCTTAACTTTCTTGGCATTCTCAGCTTTCTTGAGCATGCTCTGTTCATCCAGGACTTTCTGATTCCTATGGATACTCTGGTGGTACAAACACACCTTGACACTTTATAGCAGATCTATTTGAATCTTTATAAATCCATAGGGATCACCATATCTTCAAAATACCTAATTCTCATTCATTCAGATGCCAAAGGGGTATGTTGAACTATATGAAGACCTTGACAACTATAGGCTTCCAGAGCATCCAAGAGTCTCTGAATCACCCAGATGGCCCAATTTATGAAATACTCCAACTCTAAGAAACAATTTGATCCTCTAGAACACTTTGAGATCAAAGTTGAGATAAGGACACTTCAAGAATATTCTGCATGTACAAATATGGCATAGTGAGTCCCACTATTATGTATGATTATAAAGCACTAATAAAAATGTTCTTCTGGGTGGCAGAATAGAGGAGGTGGTGCTCCTGGCCACGCTGTGGAATGAAACCAAGAAAACTGACAAGCAGCTTCTCAGCAAGGTCGGTTAATAACAACAACAACAAAAAGTAAGGAGACTTTACTAGAATTTTAAACTGAACATTCAAAGAAGATCAGGGACTCAGGAGTTTGGATATAATAAAATAAGTGAGAAATCCCCAATGGCACAGCCACTGCCACAGCCATGTCAGAAGCTCCAGCTAGAGAGCTTCCTCCATGAGCATAGTGGAGGGATAAGGGAATTAAAAGGACCCACATATTTTGGAGACCCAAGGTGTGTCTGGGTACAGAGCATTTAGAGATCAAGGACATTGCTTGGCAAACCTGAAGGACACCCCTGCACAATATCCACATGTGGGGAAGAAGCTGCCATCTATCCAGGTGGTGT